TCACCCCACGGGGCAGGCGGACGAGGTGGCACGGAGGCTGATCTGGGAGAAGAACCTCAAGTACATCAACAGCCACAACCTGGAGCACGCACTGGGCGTCCACACCTTCGAGCTGGCCATGAACCACCTGGGTGACATGGTGAGTGTCACCAGGGAGGGGACAGTAATGGGCTGGGAGATGGGACTGAGCACCCTTGGGTGCTGCTCTGCCCAGCAGCCCTAGGGCTGCACTCATCCACCCCGGGCTCCTTCCCCAGACCAGCGAGGAGGTGGCAAGGCCCATGCCGGGCTTACGGCCGCCCACGTCACAACGAGACGCTCTACGTCCCCGACTGGACTGAGAGAGTCCCGGCTGCCGTGGACTGGAGGAAGAAAGGCTACGTGACGCCCGTTAAGAACCAGGTAAGCAGGGTGCTCCTGGGGGTGCCCCAGAGCAGGGTGGCACCCCAGTGTCACCTGTTGGCACCCACTGTCACCCATCGTGTCCCTGTAGGGCCAGTGTGGCTCGTGCTGGGCTTTCAGCTCGGTGGGTGCGCTGGAGGGGCAGCTGAAGCGGAAGACGGGGAAGCTGCTGTCCCTCAGCCCCCAAAACCTGGTGGACTGTGTGACCAACAACGACGGCTGCGGTGGCGGCTACATGACCAACGCCTTCGAGTACGTCCGGCAGAACCGCGGCATCGACTCGGAGGACGCCTACCCCTACGTCGGCCAGGTCTGGGGCTGGGGTGGGGAGTAAGGTCTCCATCTTCTCCCTCCCCGATTGCCATCCCATCCTCACCTCACCCTGACCTTGCCGGTCCCGTGCAGGACGAGAGCTGCATGTACAACCCCAGAGGGAAGGCGGCCAAGTGCCGCGGCTACCGGGAAATCCCTGAAGGCAACGAGAAGGCTTTGAAGAGGGCCGTGGCCAGGATCGGACCCGTCTCCGTGGGCATCGACGCCAGCCTGCCCTCCTTCCAGTTCTACAGCCGCGGTGAGGGGCTGGGGGGGAATCCCCCTCTCTGGTGCCCACTGCTTGCAGGGCAGCTTGGGGAAACTGAGGCACAGCTGGGTGGTTTATCCTAAGCGTAACCGTCCGTCCCGTCCCCCAGGCGTGTACTACGATGAGAGCTGCAATGCTGAAAACATCAACCACGCAATGCTGGCGGTGGGCTACGGCACGCAGAAGGGCACCAAGTACTGGATCATCAAGAACAGGTATGGCAGGACAGCGAGGCTGCTTC